AAACACTACTCTCAAATACGTCTCCCTGTATGCGCTCATTCTCCTAATGGGGAATTACCTCAACATGGGCTCTCAAAAACTTAAAAATTAGATAAATGGCAAAAACTTTGAGAAAGAAATTGTAAGTTGACAATGGCAACTATGTACAAGGAAAATCTATATAAAATGTCTTATAGGTGGCATCTACCAATGGCCAGATTAGCAAAGATGCTTAAAAACATGTCCAACAGATGTTGGAAAATGTAACCAGACACCAGGTACGTATGTACCACATGTGGTGGACATGTTCAAAGCAAAGAAACATTGGACAAAAATACATACATGGTTAGAAAAACTGTTAAAACAACACATAGATTATAAGCCAGAAATATTTTTGTTAAGCATAATACCGGAAAAGTGTGATAAAGGGAATCTATACTTAATATTGCATGTCTTGACAGCAGTATATAATATTGCATGTCTTGACTATTTGCACAGTACTGGAAAAATGAGGGAGCACCTATAGAAGAAGACATAATTTTTAAAAAATTAGATTGAACAGAAATGGATAGATTGACCCTAAAAATAAAAGAAAAAAGAAGATACAGAGTATTTTCAAACATGGGACTTGTTTTACAAATGGTTGGATAGTAGAGGTAGAAATTAGAGTTGGGAAAAGTATTATTATATATATAAATAAAATGACCCAGACAATGAGCTGTTCATTAAGCACCTATGTATCAGTGATGGGATTCAAATTTTTTACTACCAGTTCTCTGGGCATGGCTTGGTTGGCGTGGTGTGGCTTGGTGGGTGTGGTGTGGCTTGATGGGAGTGGCAGGGGAAGGATACTGGAAAATCTCCATTCCCACCCCATTCCTGGGGAAGGTTACTGCAAAATCCCATTCCCTCTTTTCAGCGGGTTGCCCTCCTGTGCAGGGCAACAAAAGAAGACCCAGCCGATCAGCTGGGACTCGGGAGGCAGAGAATAGATGGGCGCGGGGCCAGTCGGAGGTGGTATTTGCCGGTTCTCCGAAGTACTCAAAATTTATGCTACCGGTTCTCCAGAATTGGTCAGAATCTGCTGAATACCACCTCTGCTATGTATGTAATGTGAAAATATACAAATGAACTGTTAAAAAAATTAAAACCACAGGAGGGCAGGGAGGAATGGGATCTCTGTGATCAACAAAACACTTTTGTGATCAGACCACCACTGATCTTTCTCATCACAGTTGTTGGAGAAGGAGCCACAGAAGCCTCAATCCTGAAACTGTTTATCCTTCTGACTGCTTGGGTCTTCAGACGTGGAGAGAGGAAATAAAGGACATCCTATTTGTCTCTCCTTTGTCTTACTTTCCTTTCCTTTGTCTAGAACAGGGGTCCCCAACCACCGGTCCCCAGACCGATACCAGTCCGTGGATCATTTTTTACCGGGCCGCAAAGCTTGGGCGCCGCCATCTTGTTTCGACGGCGCTTCCAGGTTTTCGGTTGCTTCCGGGTTTTCGGTTGGAAAATGCTTCCGGGTTTTCAGTTGGAAAGCGGCGTTTGGGTGCTCGCGCCTTAGTTTCGTCGAAGGGGGGGGGGCAGCTTCGAACGAAGAGCCGTCCCGATGGCGGTGGAGTCTCGCGTTACTCAGGTACCGGTCCGTGGAAGAATAAATAATCGTGAAACCGGTCCCTGGTTCAAAAAAGGTTGGGGGCCACTGGTCTAGAAGATTGATATCCTTAGAAGCTCCCGTTCAGCATCGTACTTTTAAAAAACCCTCTACTTTGCTCCATCCTGAGGACAAAAGAGATGCTAATTTGAAACTCCAACACATAACTTCCATAATAGATTTCATTTCATGGACTTTACCCATTTCTAGATACATTTGGTGAATAATTCTAGTCATATATATATATATATGCTATGCTAAACAAAGGTGCTGAGATTGTATCAAAAGATTCCAGCATTTCCATGTTTTCTTCAGATAAGTTTTCTCTAGGTAGGAAGGGAGATCTTGAGAACTTGGACAATATACTTCAAATTACCCACACATGGGCTTTGTTACAGATAAGATCATAGTATGATAGGACTAAAAGGGACCTTAGAGGTCTTCTAGTCCAACCATTACTCAAGGCAGGAGATCTTATACTATTCTGGACAATGGTTACTTAATTGTGCCATTTGTTTCATCTTAGAGGTGGTATTCAGCAGGTTCTGAACAGTTCTGGAGAATCGGTAGTGGAAATTTTGAGTAGTTCAGAGAACCGGCAAATACCACCTCTGACTGGAGATTTTACAGTATCCTTCCCCTGCCACGCCCACCAAGCCACGCCCACAGAACCGGTAGTAAAAAAAAATTGAATCCCACCACTGTTGTTACCCATCTTTTACCCTCAACATTGATAGTATGTCATGTTTTGTCAACCGCATTAGATAGCTGACCTGCTTCAATGGCTAATTTATTTTATCAGGAGAAAAACAGTGAGCTACTCCAGTGATTCCCAAAGTGGGTGGTACTGCCTCTTGGGGGTGGGGGGGGGGGGATGCTTTAGGGGGGGGCACTAAGAGGCAAGGGGAGTGCTGAAGGTGGGCCCCTCACAGAGTGCAATTCAGGGGTGGGATTCTACTGGTTTATTACCGTTCCCGGTAGTTCAGAGAACCGGTAAAATGAGCCCCTGGCTGGCCCTGCTCCTTTCTGCCTGCTCCTCTGTTTCCTGCCCAGTCAGTTCTTATTGTGCATTGGGTGAAAAACACACGGCGTCTGGAGGCTTTTTGCAGCGAAAATTACTGACTGAAAATTACTTTGCTCCACTTCTCCAACGCACCACCACCGCCGCGTTCTAGGTGCCGGCCATGCAGGCTCACCCCATTGACTGCTGCACCACTCCACTCGGACTTGCTTGGGCAAGTCCCTCCGGTGCAGCAGGCTCAATGGGGTGGACCTGCGGGGCACCTAGAATGCAGCTGCCGTGGCACTTTGGAGAAGCAGAGCAAAGCCGGAGGTCGGTAATTTTCACTGCAAAAAACCTCCAGCTGCTGCGTGTTTTTTTCCGTGTGGCTCCAGTCCAGTCGCACCGAAAAAAACATGTGGCGGCTACAGGCATTCATGACAAGGGTGACATGGGCTGGCAGGGAGCCCAGCGACAACAATGGCTCAGCCCTGGCTTGCTTCCCTGGCACCCAGCCATGGGAGGAAGGTAAAGTCATGGCTGTGGGATGATGAAAGAGGCGGTCGTGGGGGACGAAATGAGGAATTAAGGACCGGGGCCCCTGAAAGGGGAAACG